CCTGGGCTGGGCTTTGGCTCTGAGTTTGTCTCTCCAGCCCTTTTGTTGACTGGCTGAGGTCCCTGATGACCTTACATTGTTTTTTTTGTTATATCTTTTTTTTTTTTTTGGTACCGGGGATCAAACTTGGGTCCTTGCACTTGCGAGGCACGCAGTGGAACCACTGAGCTATATCCCCAGCCCAACATATTCATTTTTTTTTTTGGTACTGGGGTTCGAACTCGGGTCCTTGCACTTGCGAGGCACGCAGTGGAACCACTGAGCTATATCCCCAGCCCAACATATTCATTTTTTTTTTTGGTTCCGGGGATCAAACTCTGGACCTTGTGCTTGTGAGGCCAGCACCAGAACCACTGAGCTGAATCCTGGTCCTACATACTCGTTTTTTAAGCTGGTGATCCAACTACTAAAAATTTGCCATGTGGATATAAAGCCATATATACAAAACTCTTAGAGGCCTAACGTTAACAGTTAACGATTATATATTGATGGGCCAGGAGTTCACTCAGTGGTGCTGCTGCATGCCTCACAAGCGCAAGGTCCCAAGTTCAATCCCTGGTTCCAAAAAAAACCAAACAAACCAAGTATATATTGATAGGATTAAGAAAAGATAAAGTAATATGAGAAACAACCTTTTAGCATAACATACTGTAATTTACAAAGTTTTTAGACATTAGGAATTATGTTTTAGAAGAATGTATAATGTTATGGGAAAATGTTCATGCAGGAAAAAAATGGTGCATATATGATTTTTTTTGGTACTGGGGATTGAACTCGGGTCCTTGTGCTTGCGCAGCAGGTGGCGAAACTACTGAGCTAAATCCCTGGCCCCCTATAATAAGATTTATATTTTTCATAAAGTATGAACGATGACCAGGGGAAATATACTAAGTGGGTTTTTAGTTTGTTTTTGTTTTTTGGGTTTTTTTGGTTTTTGTGGTACCGGGATCGAACTTGGGACCTTGCGCTTTCGAGGCAGGTGCTGGAACCACTGAGCTAAATCCCTGGCCCTGTTTTTTGGTTTTTTTGAGACAAGGTCTCACTATGCAGTTCAGGCTGGCCTTGAGCTCACTATATAGCCCATGATCATGGTGATCCTCCTGCCTCAGCCTCCTGAGTGCTTGGATTACAGGCATGCACCACCATGCCCTACCATATTCTAAATGTTAATAATAATTATCCCTTGGTGGAAAAATGCTAATTTAAAAATTTTTTAGGGCTGGGGATTTAGCTCAGTGGTTCCGCTGCTGCCCCACAAGCACAAGAACCCAAGTTCGATTTTAGTAATGCCTAAAATTCCTACAAGAAACATGTACTTTTTAAAATGGTACTTGAGATAATTTGCTTGCCATTTCCCCTACATGAAAAGCCACTTTAAGTCACCTAAATGATATAAGAACACATTTGTCTTATTAAAGAAAATAGGAACCTCACAGTAGGATTTTCACCACCAAGTCCACTCCACCTCCCTCACCAGAATGGGCTCAGGTAGTGCAGTGTGTGTATTTTCATACTTATTTGGATATGTAACATGTACGTATGGATGAATCAGTCTTCTGTATCATATTGCAAATCATTTGCTTCACTTGATATTATCTCTTGGTCCTTTCTCCACATGGACCAGAGAGAATGTCCTCAATAATTCTCAACTTGACTGCTGTCTTACTCCAGGGCCATGCCACTGTTTTATGCAGTTATTTCCTCATGAAGAATAGTTAATTATGCCTTGTATTTGTCTAGCTGGAAAATTCCTTTTGTAGCCTTAATGAGTTGATGGGACTCTTAAAAAATTAGTAGAACATGTTAAACAGAAAGTTAGATCAAGCAATAAAAAAGACCCATTTGTTTTGGTGACATGTATTTCTTTTTTTTTTGGTACTGGGGATCAAACTTGGGTCCTTGGGCTTGCGAGGGAGGTGGCAGAACCACTGAGCTAAATCCCCGACCCTGTGACATGCATTTCTTACTTAACTAGCAGTCCATGAAGCCTAACCAAAGCATGCCCTTGTCTGACCCTAAAGGCACATGAAGATCCCATGTACGACATCATTCGAGAGAATAAAAGGCATGAGAAGGACGTGAGGTGAGGTGCTGAAGGTGTTAAAACCTGCTTAGTCTTAGACTACAGGATTCGGAACCACCACTTGAATGTAAGGGAATGGTTTGGAACCACGACTGGAGCTGTCAGTGCTGGGTCAGGTGGGGCCCATGGTTGAGCAGGCCAGTGTGGGGATGGGTACTGGGGCAGGGATGGGCAGCCAGTGTCCTCCCACTGGCTCGGGTCCGGGGTGTGTGGCCAGGCATGCTTGTGCCCCTGGAGTTCACACTGGGCACCACCATTTGGCATCTTCTTGCAGTGTACAGTGTACTCTTTCAGGTGAATTAGTTTATCTTCTCCAGTATCACTGAGGATCTGAACTTTTTTGTGGGGGTGATAGGGCCTCATGTGCTAGGCAAGTTCTCTGCCACTGAACCACATCCCCAGCCCTGATGTTTTTGAGACAAGGTCAGCTATGTTGCCCAGGTTGTCTGGAACTCATGGGTTCAAGTGTTCCTCCTGCCTCAGCTCCTTCCCAGGAGCTGGAGTTATAGGAATTTTCTGTTAAAATTTATTCTTCAGTGTGATTAAGTGGATGTAATGAATGAGGGCTTGTTTTCAGATGGTTGCTCGGAATTGCAGCTCTTTAGCAAGGAGATGACCCTGAGACTGGGCGGTGCAGGCCTCAGTCTGTGCTTCTGTTAGAAGTCACAGTTGCAGGGGCTCTTGAGAACATGCAGAAATATTAGGACAGCGAGAACAAGTGTTGTGTTGAGTGAGGTCATTACCACACCCACTCAGTGCTTATTTTAAGTCATTTAGTTATTTGAGAAAACTGTCTTGAGCTAAAACTCAGAGTCCTCTGCCCGATCTTGCACGCTTAGGATCCAGCAGCTGAAACAGCTTCTGGCCGACTCCACCTCAGAGGAGGACGGGAGCAGCTCCGGGTCCTCAGAGAGCAGAGAGAAACACAAGAAGAAGAAGAAGAAGGAGAAGCACAAGAAAAAGAAGAAGGAAAAGAAAAAGAAGAAAAAGCGGAAGCAGAAGTCTTCCAAGTCAAGTGAGAGTTCAGACTCAGAATGAGCTGGACGCCATGTTGAGCACCTCAAGAGCCCAGCACTGAGGGCTGGACAGAGGGGACACATGGAGAGCAGCTGTGCCAGCGGACATCGGGTCTGTGGGGATGCTCACCGCCTCCCAAAGGACACTGTGCGGTTTCCCAGTGCCAGGCCTCACTGGCGTCCAATGGGACTTCCTTGAGTGTCCCAGAAACCTGTGACCTCTTTGCAGCCTCTGTGGGCAGCAGGACCAGGGGCTCTAGGTGGCATTGTGGACCTGGCCTGCACCCTCCTGGTGGGTGGCTCAGTCCCATGGCTTCAGGCTTGGCCGTCTGTGTTGTTGAGGATAATAAAAGCTTGTGATTTATTTTTCAAATGTAATTATTTATTTATGAAGAATCCAGGCACGTGGTCCAGTTGTAAAAGCTGAGGACAGTTTGGTCGTGAAAACTCACACTCCTTCCTTTTACCGAGCTCCTTCCCCAAGGGCTACCAGTGTATGATCACATCTTTCTGACGCATCTCTTGTCACAGACAGGGAGAGCTTTTTACACAGCTGCTTAATGGGCCCACATGACCTTTCTAAGACAGCAGTGTGAAGCAGCTGTCCTCACATGGAGCTCACACGGGGCCCTGCTGCTGTGTGCCCTGACACGATTCATTGGTCTGGGGACAGAGGTGACTGTGGCAGCAATGAAGCTTCACGTGGCTACACTGCTCAGAACTCTATAAGGAACAGGGAGTGGGGAGGGGACCAGAAACCCTGCAGTGAGTCCTGGTCTCTTGTGAGCCATGACAGCACAGGTGAATTAAAGAATGAAGACAGGAAATGAGACTTAGGAAGAAGCTGTGTCTTGGGCCTGGTCAATGCTGCTCTGGGCAGCAAAGACAAAAGCACCTGAGCTCACCATTATTTATTGGGTTTAAAAGGAGTAACAGATGACTCAGAGGGCGGCGATAATCCTAAACTGACAAGGATCTTATAATCAGAGGAAGCATCAGATGGCTTGAGGGTAGCGGTAATCCTGTGACCATGAGGATCTCACGGTGATGGGGATCTTGTTGATTAGGAAGGTAAAATGAGCAAAGACATTCTCATAACAGTGGGTGGGATGAGGTAAACTGATAAGGAATTTGTCCCTCCCCAGGTGAAACCTTTCTCTTACTTGGTTCTCAAGGAACCAGGATGTCTTAGCTGGTGCAGTCTTGCCCTTCAGTATCACAGCATCACGGGATGTTGAGGACTCAGCGATGACCAGAGGCAAAATGGAGTTATGTTTCAGCATGGCATAGCTGGCCTGTGGGCAGGAAGACTAGGCCTAATCATGATTTAATGTGAAATGATTTTTCCCTAAAATCACGTAGAATGGCTCCTGACAGACCTCACTGCTGGAGCCTCAGGATCCTTAGTCCCTAACTCAAGGGATTTAAGGACATGTCCCTCCTGTTGCCAGAGTGGCCACAGGCACAGACAAGGTGGTGCCTGTGGAGAGAGCAGAGGGTCCGTCCTTGCTGAGCCACAATGCGGCTGGATCTTGCTCAACAGCAGTGTGTCTCAGGGTCCCAGAAACACTGCCTCTTCTTCCTTCCTCTTCCTTTTGCAGGGGAGCCAGCCCAGGCCTGAATGGACCCTTCCCTCTCACCTGCCAGTGCTGCTGGTCTAGCTCTTGGAAAGGACCTCAGGGACACACAGTCCGCTGTGGAATATTGAGGACTTGTTTTGCTTTATTTTATTTCATTTTGCTTTCCTGGGGATTGAATCCAGGGCCTGCCACAGACAAAGCAAATGCTCTACCACTGTGACACACCTCCAATCCCTTAGGACTTGGTGCTTCTGCAAACCAAAAGGCCAGGTGGGTCACTATGCCTTCCGTTCTTCCATTCATCGATATCCTTCAGGCTGCTGGGTAAAGCTCACATAGGGCTAGAACTCAGTGTACTTTACGAGCATGCCCAAGCCTCTGAGTTCCATCCCCAGCAACACACACACACACACACACACACACACACACACACTCAGCCATGTAGAATGATGCCCCCACACATCCATTACCACACTCAACCAAGGCCTGAGTCCACAAAGCCAACTCATAAACCAGAGCGTGGCTCCTTGCCTGTTCTGGCCTCCTTCATGCTCACATCCCAGGAACTGCATTTCCACTGCTGTCCAGAAGGCAGCATCAATGCAGACCTACCGTTGCCAACCTGTCCTGGGCCTGTGGTATGCACAATGCAGCACGGCCCCAGGCGCTGTCCCCTGCATCTCCAGGACTGGCACTGGGGTGGATTTCACTGCTGTGATTAATGACAAGACAGGGTGATCAGTGCTCCAGACAAACCACAAGAACCCCCTAAAGCCCAAGTTTTCTCTGGCTGGTAACCAAAGAGGATGTCAGTTTCCCAGCCTGTGAAAGGCTCCAAGTACCTCTGCTGGCTTTGAAGGTGAAGGCGAAGGGCCACATGGTGAGGACTCCAGGCCCTGGTGAGCAAGTGGGTACCTCAGTCCTACAGCCACAGGAGCTGGGCTGTTCAAGCTCATGACGAGGCTGAGGGTGCAGGTTCTTCCCTGGGGCCTCTGGGCAGGAGCCCAGCCCTCTGGCAGCTCCACGGTGGCGCCTAGCCCGGCTAAGCATCAGGGCTGTGACGTCACCACTTGCACTGAATTAGGTTTCCCTCTTCCCTCAGGCCTGTTTCTCTCTGTCAGGGAAAGGGTTAAAAGTGGTGAGAGCGGAATGCAGGTGTGTGCTGAAATGACCTTGGCTGCTGCCCTTCTGCAGAGATCCTGGCCATCTCCCCTGGGAAGGAAATGTTACGCATACAGCCTTGAGGGTGCTGTGAGAGTCCTTGGTTTTAGTCAGCCCCAAGACACTGCCCTTAGACATGCAGGCCAGCTGGCACCAAGGCACTTTTGTCTGAACGCAGTGCTTGGGAACCAGAGGCAGGAGGGCACAAGTTCAAGGCTAGCCTGAACTCTGTCTCAAAATAAATTTTTTTGGTACTAGGACTCGAACTCAGGTCCTTGCACTTGTGCACCAGGCGGCAAAACCACTGAGCTAAATCCCAGGCCCAAAATAAAATTTTTAAAGAAATAAAAGGGCTTAGGATAGCTCGAGGTAGGTCGGGGGCTTGGTTAGCATGTCTGAGGCTCCTGGTTCACTTTCCAGCGTGAAAGTAGCAAAGGGGAAGGAGGAAGAGATGGAAGAAAAAGACAGCAAAATCTAAGACCTTAATACTAGCTTGAGGAAAAAGGCATTTGTGGAAAAGTAAAATATATGAGGAGACTGAAGGAAAATAAGCTGTGTTTTAACATGGTCTGTACAGAACCCACCCAGCCTGGATTCCCATCTTTTGGGGGGGGGAGGGGGACCAAGGATCAAACTCGGGACCTTGTGCTTACAAGGCAGGCAGCGGAACCATGGAGCTAAATCCCCAGCCCGACTCCCCATCTTTGAAGACAATAGTTTTTTCCCTCTGGTAAGGAGGGCATCTTTCACATGACAACTATATCTGCTGTTTCAGGGAGACAAGGAGAGGTCAGAAAAGATCAGAATGCCCTTCTTGTGCCTGCTGGTTTGCAAGTGCCTTTAGCTTAAAATAATCCTTATGCTGGGGTAGGGATGTAGCTCGGTGGCACCATGTCTGTCTGGCAAGCACGAGGTTCTGAGTTCGATCCCTGGTACAAAAAAAAAATCCTTATGCCAAAGCGGCAGACTTAGGGGCGGCATATATACATATGGCATATATACACCTTTCATATACATAAAATTTCCATTTTTAAGTGTACAGTTTAGTGGCATTAAGTGCATTCACACTGTTGTGCAACCACCAGTACCTCCATCTTTGGAACATTTCTTCTCCCCAAACAAACTGTATCCATGAAAGGATTAACTCACCATTTCTGGCAACCACCGACCTACTTTCTGCCTCTCAGACCAACTACTCTGGTACGTTGTGGAAGTGGAACTGTACCATGGTGGTGGTTCTGTGTCCAGCTTGTTCCACTCAGCATAAAGTCTTCCAACATATTGTGCGTGTTGTAGCATGTCTCATAATTTCTTTCTTTTGAAACTCCGAATAACATTCCTCTGTGTTGCAATAACATTCTAATGTATATACCACTTTGGTCATGGATGGACATTGGTTTCCACCTCTTGGGTATTGCGAATAATTCTGCTATGGATGCTGCCATCAAACATTTGTTTAGATCCCTACTTTCTGTTCGGGGTATATACCTAAGAGTAGAATTGCTGGATCACATGGCAATTCTGGGGTGTGTTGTGGTTCTGGGGATCAAGCCCAGGACCTTGCACATGATAGCAAATCCTCTACCACTGAGAAGAAACCCAGCCCTCTGTGTTTAGTATGTGGGAAGTACACGGTATGAAGACCTACATTGAGATGACTATTATGTATTTGCTGGGCATCTTAGCTACACTGACTTGAGCTCTTACACAATCTTAAGGAATAGAATGATGGTTTTTAACCTCCCAGGCTCAGAGAAGTTAAATAATTTTCCAGGATCATCTGCTCACTGAATGGTAGATTGAGGTTGGAACTCAGTTCAGTGCTTACACACTTTGATTTACTATTGACCTCATGGTCTGATTGCCTTTGTGATAGACATGGCTGGTGGTCTCATCCATTGATTGTTTTCTTAGAGAACCAAGATTTTGTTCAGAAAGAAAAGCTATGTGCTCAGAGATGGGTCTCCTCTCTCTCTCTCTCTCCTGATGACTGGAGACCAGTTACAAGAATCTTATTCCCCTAGCCAAGAGGACATAAGAGCAACTCTGTTCAGGATGTTGGGAAATATTTTCCTATCTGATAAAACAGAGAGAAAGGAAAAGAAAAACCATCCTCCTCTTTTTTTGTTACTAGGAATGCAACTCAGGACCTTGTAGTTGCAAGGCATGCAGACGTGTCCTCTTCCGATCCAACATGGGCACAGACGGCAGAGCTACGCTCACCCACAGATCCACTGGCTGATCAAAACAGTGTGGGCTTACATTTTTTTTTGTTACTGGGGATCCAACTCAGGACCTTGCACTTGCAATGCAGGCAGGCAGAACCACTGAGCTAAATCCCCGCCCCCCGATACACTTTTTTTGTGTGTATGGTACCAGGCATCAAACTCAGGGCCTCATGCTTGCCAGGCAGGCGCTGTGCCTCTGAGCCACATCCCCAGCCCTCCTTCTCTTCTTGCTCATACTACCATCACATTGCTGAGATAACATGGTACTTCCCAAGATCTAAAATGATACTGGGATACAACTGGCTAGACTGAAAAAAGGCTTTAAAACAGAGTGGCTAAGATCAGAGACCCTTGAGCCAGTCAGTCTAGGTCTGAACATTGGATCTGCCAACTAGTTAGTACTG